ATCTGGGGCAATCAAGTCGAGAATCGATCTCTCCAAGCTCAGCCAAATCTGGGGCATTCCCTCAAAGTTATCAATCAGAGGTTATCACGTAGATTAATCTCTTCAAGCTCGATCAATCAGAGGCTATCACGTCGATAAATATCTTCAAGCTCGATCAATCAGAGGCTATCACGTCGATAAATCTCTTCAAGCTCGATTAATCAGAGGCTATCACGTCGATAAATATCTTCAAGCTCAGGCTATCACGTCAATAAATCTCTTCAAGCTCGATCAATCAGAGGCTATCACGTCGAGAGATCTATCCAAAGTCATTCAACATGGGGCAGTTACGTCGAGATTCGACAAATCTCTCCAAGAAAGTTGTAATCAAGAGAAGTTTATTTCGTAGCTCAAGACATTGGGGCAGGCCACCTCATATCATTTTGTGGCATGAATATTCTAGTCTTATATTCAACATAGATCTTCTCAGAGACCCTTTAGACAAGGGCATTCCTCATCCATACTTGCAAAGTTGCTCAAGCCAATTATGTTGTACGAGACTACGATCAAGCTAAAAGCACCATAACGATCACCCTGACCTAGCCAGTGCACGAAGCTGTCTCCATCTACTACAAGCAACTTCAGGTCTGGTTCCCCAAGTGAATTCAAAAAGTTCAGAATCGTCTTTTGACTCAACACGCGTAAGTGCATCCTCAGTGGAGCTAATCAAGAACATCCCCAATGGAGCTAAACCGGGGCATTCGCAGAGCTAAACCGGGGCATTCGTAGAGCTAAACCGAGGCATTCGCATAGCTGAACCAGGGCATTCAGAGCTCAACCGGGGCATTCGCAGAATTCAACCAGGGCACTCGTAAGTGTCCACGCTCATCTCTTATCCCCAAGTGATTCAAGAGACAATTCCCCAGTGTGCGTAAACTTGGAGCATGTATTCAAAGGGATCCATATGGTGTTCAGTATCAATTCTTCGGCATATTCAGTTCTATCATCCTCTCAGCGGTTCAGGATGTTTGGAAGTCTGGCCAGGTTATCTTTTCCCAACGGTATGATTCAGAATCCAGCATCGTACCTGAAGACCCGTTTCGTCGGCAATTCAATCTCCAACAGAGTCATCAACAACCTTCGGTATCATGGGCTCCCGAGTGCAAATTTTTATCGGTACCCCCATCAATCTTTGGCACTGCAGACTTCCAACGTTGATATATACTGACATCCCCAGTGATGAGCAATGGCTCCCAACAAGCCTTCTTTTATCCCCATGAAGTTTATTTCTTCGCATTGCATATAGTTATCATTACATAACATTGCATCCTCAAAAGCGCGTAGCTGATCCATCAGAGTAGATCTTTGCATCAAAAGAAATTCAAACATGCATACAAAGCATAAGCCAGACCAGGTACCTTACACGAAAGACCTGAATTATTCAAGGACAACAATACATCCCTACAGAAGGGTATCATGCCCGAAATCCCCAGTCGGTGACCTTCACCTTTTCAATGCCAAACAAAATCAATACACTTTCCCTTTCTAAACCCAGTTCTTGTCTGGTAGTCGGTTCCCTAAACACTCGTCTGTGTCCATTCCAAAGCACTTGTATGTGTCAAGTTTCCTAAACACCCACCCGGGTCAGTTATTCAAACACTCGTCCGTGTTTAACTTTTTGATACTCGTCCGTATCTTCTTTCAATACTCGTCCGTATTGATTCAAACACTCGTCCGTGTTTAACTTTTTGATACTCTTCCGTATCTTCTTTCAATACTCGTCCGTATTGATTCAAACACTCGTCCGTGTTTTTACCTTTGATACTCACCTGTATCTTCTTTCAATACTCGTCCATATTGATTCAAACACTCGTCCGTGTTTATACCTTTGATACTCACCTGTATCTTCTTTCAATACTCGTCCGTATTGAATAAAACACTCGTCCGTGTTTATACTTTTTGATACTCGTCCGTATCTTCTTTCAATACTCGTCCGTATTGAATCAAACACTCGTCCATGTTTAACTTTTTGATACTCGTCCGTATCTTCTTTCAATACTCGTCCGTATTGAATCAAACACTCGTCCGTGTTTAACTTTTGATACTCGTCCGTATCTCCTTTCAATACTCGTCCGTATTGAATCAAGCACTCGTCCGTGTTTATACTTTTGATACTTGCCTGTATCTCCTTTCAATACTCGTCCGTGTTTAACCTTTTGATACTCACCTGTATCTTGTTTCAATACTTGTCCGTATTGATTCAAACACTCGTCAGTGTTTAAATTTTCTTGATGCTCATTCGTGTCGCTTATCTAAACAATCATCATGTCATAACCCATGTTCCCTTCTTCGAACCTGAGATCGCCTCTTGGCTAGGTTCTTCCTTCAAATCATCATCGAACCTGAGATCGCCTATTGGCTAGGTTCTTCCTTCAAATCATCGTCGAACCTGAGATCGCCTCTTGGCTAGGTTCTTCCCTCAAACCTTCGTCGAACCTGAGATTGCCTCTTGGCTAGGTTCTTCCTTCAAATCATCGTCGAACCTGAGATCGCCTCTTGGCTAGGTTCTTCCTTCAAATCATCGTCGAACCTGAGATCGCCTCTTGGCTAGGTTCTTCCTTCAAATCATCGTCGAACCTGAGATCGCCTCTTGGCTAGGTTCTTCCCTTAAACCATCGTCAAACTTGAGATTCTCTCTTGGCTAGGTTCTTCCTTCAAATCATCGTCGAACCTGAGATCGCCTCTTGGCTAGGTTCTTCCCTCAAATAATCGTCGAACCTGAGATCGCCTCTTGGCTAGGTTCTTCCTTCAAATCATCGTCGAACCTGAGATCGCCTCTTGGCTAGGTTCTTCCTTCAAATCATCGTCAAACCTGAGATCGCCTCTTGGCTAGGTTCTTCCTTCAAATCATCGTCGAACCTGAGATCGCCTCTTGGCTAGGTTCTTCCTTCAAATCATCTTCGAACCTGAGATCGCCTCTTGGCTAGGTTCTTCCTTCAAATCATCGTCGAACCTGAGATCGCCTCTTGGCTAGGTTCTTCCTTCAAATCATCGTCGAACCTGAGATCACCTCTTGAATAGGTTCTTCCTTCAAATCATCGTCGAACCTGAGATCGCCTCTTGGCTAGGTTCTTCCTTCAAATCATCGTCGAAACTGAGATCGCCTCTTGGCTAGGTTCTTCCTTCAAATCATCGTTGAACCTGAGATCGCCTCTTGGCTAGGTTCTTCCTTCAAACCTTCGTCGAACCTGGGATCGCCCTTTGGCTAGGTTCTCTGTCAAATCACTCTCATGTGTCACCCTCGGATCGTAGGTCGCCCGTAGACCTCGTCCGCTGTCTTTTCATACCAACAATTTGTCTTGTATTGGCATCAAGCCACTTCACAAGTCCAGTCTCTGTCTCTTCATTGAAAAAAACAAATTTCTTTTCCCCGGCAGATCACAAAATAAATAAATAAAGAAAACACTTACTCCTTCTCTCAGGACAAATTTTTGGCATTGGTATTTAATCATCTTCCACCTTGAACTTCCGAAAGGCACGCACCAATCGTACTTTCAGGTTTAAGACGATTAAATAGGGGCAACTGTAATACCCCAAATTTGTCCTACCCTTTTACTTCCTATCTGGCTTACGCATTTTTGCATTTTTCTCACATATATAATTTCCATTAGGTCATCTAACACATCATGCATCATTAATCGATAAATTGGCATAAGATCATGGATTTCGAGGAATAAGGGTTGGTGTATGGCTTTAAGGCTCCCATCTCCGCACAAGCATATTTCGGCTGATTTCTCCATTAATAATTTGTTTGAAGCTAGGTTTTCATTTCATGGACCTTATCATCATCAAGCTACGAGGCTATTCTTTTCTTCTCAATGTCAAGTTGCAAGGTTTTATGAGACGAAGCTAAAAATCAGGGTTTATACATTTTCATACTTGAGCTTGTCAGTATTCTACCTGAGGTTTATTCCATATCAAGGTATTCACATGTCTCATCTTTCATATTCATCTGCAAAGAATCCCTCAGGGCATAGTCATTATCATCTATTGAGAAGGGGTCCAAGACGTCGTTATTCTAGTGCTCATATAGTCGGGACATGGTACAAGATGTTGACTGTGATCAAGGTGTCATTATTTCAAATGCTTGTTGCTTGACACACAAGTTTGGTTTATACTGAGGAATTGAATTGAATTAGGGATTCATTGAAGTTGTAATTTGATCGAAACTCGTTCATTAAGATTTGAAGAGGATTTGGAGTGAGTAAAAGTTCTTAAATATTTGTGTGGGATTTCTTAGAATAAAAAGGCATGTATCAAACTCATTTGTTTCATCCCACAATCAAAAGTGTCATCCAAACAGTCATTCAAGAACTCATTAAAGATTCAAGTCTCTTCGTGATTACCTTGCAAAAATATTTTGGATCCATACCATGATCATTTGAATTCATGCAAAAGCCATTTCATTATGTGGAAATAAAGTCAACATACATTCCAATGTGTATTCAAATACATACAAGTCCAAATTCCATTACAATTATACATAACATCTATACATTTTTACCAAAACCTATCCTAATTTTCAATCATTCTTCATGTTTCAAACTTCAAGCTTCCAAAACTTCGTGTTATGCGTCTTTGTTCCAACTTCATATCATCTCTAAACTCATTCAAATCCTCACTTGGTGTTTTCCTTTTGTCTTTGCTTCCCAATAGCCCTGATATGAACCAAACCTACAAAAATATTGGATAAACTGTAATAAGCATGAACCGCTTACACTACCGCTAGTACACAAACTTGCAACGTCAAGCCAATATCAAACTAATTTCAAAAAATCCAAACATATTCCATTTATAAGCCACAACCCGACATTTGACAGAAAAGTGAGTCCATGGAGCATACAAAACCGAATCTCTAAAACAACAGACCATTTCGCCACATCCAGTTAATTGAGAACGAAATTAAATCAGGAAATCAGAAGAAAAAGGACAGAAGGAATAAATCAGAAAATGGCTGAGATTTAAAAATCAGCAGAAGAAAGTTTTTCAGAAAAATCAGGGGGAAACTGCGGAAATAGATTTACAGTTCAGCATAGCAATTCACATAACAGAAATTCAAAAGCAAAATTGATTTCTAACTAACAGCTAACCAATCTCTAAACCTCTCCTTAACCATAACAAACTAACAATAATTCCTAACAGTCCTTTTCTAACTCATTCCTAGTTATAATCCAAAACCATATCTCAATTAACCAAAACCAATTCCATAACCCAAAAATAGAGACAGCCTTGTAACTAACTTAACATACCCAACAGTTACAACAAACTAACTTAACTGTAACAAACTTCCAACTGTCAAAACCAATCCTAACAGAATTCATAAATCCTAACCAACCTCCTAACTATAAAAAACTTCCAGCATATACGTAATAGAGATCACAAATAGATCCAAAGAGGGGGCAGAGGGATTTTCAGTTTTGAGATTTATTCTTTATTTTACAAACATAGAGAAAAGTCAAAAAAATAGATAACAGTTTCAATAAGAAAGAGGAGAGGATTCATTATCAATTTTTAACAAAAAAAAAGGAGATCAAGAACTCACCACAAATTCTCAGAACCAACCAATATCACTCTCCATTCCTTCATCTTAATCTGTTTCATCAATCTTCCATTTCCATCTGTTTCATCAACCTTCATCGTTCTCTTTGAACCACAACTTCATCTTCATCGCCTTAATCTTCATCTTCATCATCATTATCATCAAGAATCCGCAATCTGTTTCAACGACAAAGACGCAATAACAAGTCATGTGTCAAAACGCAACCAATTCAGAAATGAGAAAAAAAGAAGAGGGCAGAGGGGATTGAGTTTTGAGATTTATTCTTTATTTTACAAACACAGAGAAATCAGTTATAGAACTCCCAAGAAATCTCCATCAAACTCTCTCAAAATCGCTCTTCATCATTCTTCATCTACAATCATCACCATCAATCTCACGTTCTTCATAGCATCACCATCTTCTTCAATACGTCAACCTCAACAACCTCCAACAATCATCTTTCTCTCTGAACCGAATCACAATCATTGCAACCGCTTCGCTCTGCGTCGTCAACCTTCATTCTTCAACAATAATTTTCACCCACGAAATCAACAACAACATCAACACGCATGATAACTGAGCAATTCGAAAACCACACGAAGAAGAACGAGAAGAAGAAAAGAGATCATTACCTGAAGGAATCGCGGCCGGGATCGGGGTTTGCCGCCGTCAGAGGCGATTACCGGCGCGGCGGATATGGAATCGGAAACCATTTCGCGACGGAGATGAAGACGGAGACAGACAAAGTATGAGACGGAGCATCGCGTCTGAGCGATAGGCCGAGCAGCGAACATACGGAGAAGATTAGCGCCATGGACATCCACGATGGCTAGTTCATGATGAAGGTGGATCCGACATTTGTGTGCGGCGCCGATTCTGTTTGAGAGAGTGAAGAGACAAACTTTCTCTTTTAACCCTAAACCCTTTTTCAATTTTCCTATATTTTCTTTTTTAGTTTTAATTATTTTTTTGTTTTATTTCTTTTTTTTATCTCCTCATTAGTTGATTAATTCTAAATAAATAAATAAAACGAATTAAATAAGTAAAAGAAATAAGGGCTGGACCAAATCTCCCTTCTCCATAAGCCCATAACACTTTTTTTGAGATTGAAGCTTGGGAACAAAAAATCCTTTTGGGCAAATTGCTGAACCACACCCCCTGAATTCAGCTTTTACCCCCCTGATTCTTCTAATTTTTATTTTAGTTTTTCTTCTAGTTTAATTTTTTAATTGATAATAAAATAATACAAAACAATAGAATATTTTAGAATTCTTTGGAATTTCCTTTAGAATTTCGATTAGAGTTTTTTTTACTATTTTATTTTTCATATTTGGTAATCATTTTTATTGCCTTTTTTTAGTCAAGATTTTTGTGATAGCATCAATATAACTCTTGCAATGTGGAATGCTCGGGGTGAATTCTTCAATTACTCGCCCAAGGAAACTTTGATAGAATTCTCTTACCGCTTGCACAATTTTGAAGAGGCAACGGACCTCCACCGTTCGGTATCGTCGCAAATCTATTTTATTCTTCATTTTCGTACTTTATCGCAATCCATATGCATACTAACATCAGGTAGAAATTTCCCCTTTAACCTAAATCTTATGGCTACTAACGCATAATAACATTAGGTTTAGAAGTAAGCTAGTCTCCTTCTGACTTTTCTTTCCCTTTTGCATACGCATCTAAAACTAAAACTTCTTTTTCCTTTTCGAAATTCAAAACACTTTAAAACTACTGATGAGAATCACACTTTTGCTTAGTACGGGAAATGATAAGCGGGTCTCTTCTCGATCTTATCGTTCTTCATCTCAAGCATAAGTGTGGTTCAATTCTCAAAGACCCCTTTCATGACTAAGTAGAAAAATGGCTAATATCTCTCTCTTGAGGTCAATCAGTCATCATCTACATCAGTCATCATCTACAACAAAAATACAATACAAATTCAAACCATTTTGTGCGCTCGAGCACCTTCTCCCTAAAACCCTTTTCAGGTAAGGACATGATTAATTTACTTCTGTGCCAACGCATAAGTCTCCAAACGTCGAGCTGCGGCAGAAGGTGGAATTAACTTCTTCCACAAAAAACACAAACAAATAAAAGCATGTAAGCCGAACTACGGTAGCTCTGATTCCTCAAAACAGATACGTAGGCATTGGGGTAGGGCCCAAGCGAGCACAATTTTATTTTCCCTACATTCTTTTCCCCTTTCTTTTTGCATGCATTTTCCCTTAGCAATAATAAACAGTAAGCATAGATTAAACACACCCATAAGATAGACAACAAGAGTGGATACCGTAGAGTGCTACGGGTGTGTGGGGTGCTAATACCTTCCCCTCGCGTAACAGACTCCCTTACCCGATCTTTCGGTCGCAAGACCGTGACTTCTCCTTCCTCATGTTTTCTCGATGTTTACCTTTCCCTACATGTGGGATAAAAGACGTTCGATGGCGACTTCATTGTTTGATGATTTTCAGCTGGTTGTTTCAATAACCTAACACAATATAAATGCATGAAAATCAATACACCATTCACACTTGCACCTCTAGGGTAATCCCGCTTGTTGCCTTCAAAAATGGGCCATGTTTGCATGTTAAGTACTTTGGCAAAACAAAAACAAACAAAATGATCATAGTCCCTCGATGACGCTATCTTGTTGCCTAAACAAAATGATCATAGTCCCTCAAGAAAATTGCCAAAGACACTTGACACTATTGCTTTCATGGTCTATACGATGACTCGCGCCTGTCCCGTTAAACATCCTAACGCAAGGTTGTTCATCAAACACAATGGTGAAACAACACTGTTAAAAGGGTTAAAAACATAAGAAAGATCTTTGAGTAAAATAGGGTAGACAACTCTTAGTTACTTGATCAAAAACTTGCAAAACACACTTGCCATTTTTCAAAACACACATCACAACACAACTTCAAAACAACTTTCAAAAACATTGAAACATCTTTTCAAAAAGACAAACACCTTTGTAAAACATTCGAGTAAAGAATTGTTACAATGGTTGCCTAGACAAGGCATCTTTTTTAAAACATTTTCAAAACCACACACACAAAGCACCATTTCACACAATTGAAAAGCAAAGGAAAGTGATCTAAAACAAGTAACTAAGAGCCCATGGATAACCATGGATGAAAAGGGTGCTAGCACCTTCCCTTTTCATAATCTACCCCCCGAACCCACGAAAACATCTCAAAGGTATTTCCTGTGCTTTTTGACCTTTCCTTAGGATAAATAAAAAGTCGGTGGCGACTCTTGCTAAACCGAACAAGTGCGAAAACAAACGCAAAACTTCAAGTCAGTTCTCCCACCTTATCACAGAACTGGAGACTCTGTTGGGGAATATTTCTAAAAGTGGGGTTACCTTAGGGTTTTAGATCACCTTTACATGCTTGATTTGATTGCTTTACTTTTTGGGTTCCTTGTTTGGGTTTGTTTAATCCTACACCCAGATTTGGGGGCACCTTTTTAGGTAAATAGCAATAAACTGTGAGGGAACTGTGCGGGGTATACCGACATGGTTGAAGCAGTAGCTATGTTAGTGTGACATATTTGTGAGTACCGGTAGCCCTTGAGTAGTCAAGGAGAATACGGGGCCGCTGAGCGATGTCACGAAGCACTAACGAACTCTTAGAACCTTACTTGACCATCTTGGCCTTTTTAGGGGTAGTGAGATGACCGACTTTGGTGCAGTCCGAAGTTGGTAGATACTCGATACTACACTCATTGAGGATTGTTTTCTTGGAATATTTTGTTCGCCAGTTAAGTGGCTAAACCAAAACAATGAACACAGAAAATAATCTAGTGATATTGAGCTCCTTAGAACCCGATTTCTATTTTAGGACAGGATGAGCCAACTAACTTCAAAAGGGTACTTACCTACGAACCCCATGCAAGCCTAAACCTAAGAACTTGTTTTCTTTGCGTGAATATGATTACCTGTATATACACTTACTTGCTTTTGCATACATGTACATAACATCATGACATCATACCATAGCATTTTTTCAATAACCATTTCAAGGATCTCGAGGGTATTTTGATACAGGGGCACGTTGAACTAGACGTCTACCAAAGGGCAAGAGGGTTCTCCTCTAAACAAATGCCATCAAAGATCAAGTGCAACAACTTGAATCAGGGGCTATGACCCACTCAACATGGTGAGCTTGATTCTCGTGGAAAGACATCCACCGATACAAAGTTCTCCAATCAAAGATGTTGATCAAAGTTCAATCTCTAACATTTTCTTGTGTTTGCCCCAAGAGATTCTTGAAAACATGAATCCACATATCATGCATTGAATCGTAACAGGTTTTCCTTTTCAGGTTTCCTTATTCTCCTACTGTTTATTTCAGTAGAGATGGCTCTAGAGAGGACTGTCAAAGATATCCAGGATCAAAATGCTCAACTTCAAGAAATGTACTTGAACCTGTCCCAGGGGCAAGAAGAAGTGAAAGCTCTCCTCACAAGGGGCATGGTCCTAGGGAATTCAAGCAATGCCAGGAGTGATCAGTTGGAAGAACTTTAGTTTGAGCTGACCGCAATGAGGATCCAGATGATGGGACAACTGGTGGTCCAGATGGCTCTCATCCAGGACTTGGCTCAAAGATAAGAGGAGCTCAGGGTTCTCGTCAACCAACTGCTTCGGGACAACCAAGTGGGGCAAACATTTGAGGTTGAAGAGCAAGTCATCATTCAACCCCCTTTGAGACAAGAAGACAAGGGAAAAGCTCCTCAACTTGCTTCAGGGTCACAAGCCCACCAACAACCTCGTCAGCGTCAACGGGGTAATCAGCGTAAGCAAAATACGTCTGGAAGACAGTTCACTGAGACTGACATACCATCATCTCTAATACTGGAACGCTTGTTGGAGGTCAATCTGACTGCTTTAAGGGATCTTATTCGGAAGCCCAATACCTCTGCTCCTAGCTATCACCCCGATGCATTTTGTGTATACCACTCCTATAGTCCTGGACATGACACCGACGACTGTTGGGCTTTGAAAAACAAAATTCAAGACTTGATTGACAATGGAGTGCTGAAATTCATGCCGGATGGCGAGATGAAAATCTTCCGCTAAGGGTTCTCCAACTGAAGTGACAAAGCTCGGACTGAGATACTTTTGTTCCATTTGGATTTTCAAGTTGTAATTTCTTTTTTTATTCAAACAATTAGCTGTTGATGTCAAACTTTGTTTCATTAATGCATTGCATATGTTTGTCTTGAATTCATCTTTTCGTTTTCACTATTCTTGTGCTTTCTTTATGATATTTAACTCTTGATAAAAAGCTGTAAGCCTTTAGAATGAGGATGACGAAAACAATACCATAATCTCATACATTATGCTTTTGAACAGACCTTGCTGATGATGTACATGCATTCTTTCAAATCCTAAACATTGGATTCATAAGGAAGATAATCCCTAGTCAACCCCTTCGAGCCAAAGAAGCAGGAGTTTTCTGTTCTAAACAAATTGAAACCTTTTATTTAAACCTGGGGCAGGGTAGTCTCTCAGTTAATTCAAAAAAGATGCGCATTGAAGTCGCCAACTCTCAGTTCGTAATACTATGAACAACATCAAAAACATTCATCTGGAACCAAAAGACAGTGATGGTTCCTTATCTCATAGGCAGTCAATCTCTCAAAAGAGAAAAGTCCACTAAGCCAAAACCTACAAAGGAGGCTTAAGAAAGCTGGGGCATCCCGTTGACTGTAATCTCGAAAGCAGGAACAGTCAGGCAAAAGTTAGGGATAACAAATCAAAAGAACGAGGTCATTATAAATCCTCAACAACATGAAAAATGTTGCAACAAAAATGATGACCGCCCATCAAAATTCAACTGGTGTGAACCATCACAAAAAAAAAGTCGTCCCAAATTCGAATAGAGTGCGACGCACAATTAACTGAGTTTAGGATTGAAGAACATCACGAAGAGCGGGTGGGTACAAATATACTTTGAGCCTTTATCCTTTGTTTCTTAAACCGTGAACCAAGCCACGTTACAACCCTTCAAAAGTCCTAATTGAAGCATGGGTTAGTTCGAAAGCATACTGTTACAAAAGGTATCCTGACTCCTGTAAGGCTTTGCTCTAAATCTTGTGTTGAATTTGTCTTATAAAACGTTTTCTGCTAAAAAACGCATTTTTCAAAACTTCGAGACAGACATAAATTTTGCATTACTTGAATATCACTGTTTGCATTTGGCTATTTGTTTGACAGCGGAGAAATTCACACAATGAATATCCGATGAACGAAAGCTCTCTCAGTGAGTAAGATCACTTCAAAAAGGATGACACTTCCATTGACAAATCTCCTATCAACAATGGGGCATGACATGTCACTATCCAGTTAACCTGGGGCAGTCCAGTCAAGATTTCAACAGATCTTTCAAAATTCAGTGAACCTGGGGCAGTCCAGTCAAGATTTCAACAGATCTTTCAAAGTTCAGTGAACCTGGGGCAGTCCAGTCAAGATTTCAACAAATCTCTCAATTACGAATTAACCTGGGGCAAGTCTCCGTCACCATCACTTGGGGAATTTAAACATCAATCTCATCAAAGGGTTACGAACAGTCCAAGTTTTCTGGCAATATCACAAGCATCCGGTGCTAGGGGCAGTGATGAAACCTCTCCGAAATCTTTCTGAAAAGACATTCAAGCGTCCTCAAGGAGTTCATCACCTCTCTAGCAGACCTGCAGTCATGGGTTTATTTCCCCAACATTTGTCAAGGATTTATTCTCCAAAACAAATTACATTTCAAGTTGAAAGAGCGTTCAAAATTCCTTCATCACCTGCTGGAATTCAAGAGCGTTCAAAAATTTCATTCATCACCTGCTGGAAGTTGCGGTCATTATCAAAAATTCCTTCATCACCTGCTGGAATTCAAGAGCGTTCAAAAATTTCCTTCATCACCTACTGGAAGTTACGGTCATTATCAAAAATTCCTTCATCACCTGCTGGAATTCAAGGTCATTCAAAATTTCCTTCATCACCTGCTGGAAGTTACGATCATCATCAAAAATTCCTTCATCACCTGCTGGAATTCAAGGTCGTTCAAAATTTCCTTCATCACCTGCTGGAAGTTACGATCAACATCAAAAATTCCTTCATCACCTGCTGGAATTCAAGGTCGTTCAAAATTTCCTTCATCACCTGCTGGAAGTTACGATCATCATCAAAATTTCCTTCATCACCTGCTGGAAATTATAACCACCAACAAGATAACGGACAAATGAAGCTCCTAAAAATCTGTTTTTCTCAAGAATGAAGACTCTCATCCTTAAAACCTCAGAAGATTGGTATACTCCCAATTTCTGACCCTTAACAGAATGAAGACTCTCATCCTTGAAACCTCAAAAGATTGGTATACTCCCAGTTTCTGACTCT